CGGTTACACTGTTGTCATGTAGACAGTAAAACCGGGGTTTTTGCCTTGCGACGTCAGAGTGTGCGCCGTTATCCGCTGTGTTTGACGTCAGAGTGTGCGCCGTTATCCGCTGTGTTTGACGTCAGAGTTTGTGCCGTTATCCGCTGTGTTTGACATCAGAGTATGCACCGTTATCCGCTGTGTTTGACGTCAGATTGTGCGCCGTTATCCGCTGTGTTTGACGTCAGATTGTGCGTCGTTATCCGCTGTGTTTGACGTCAGAGTGTGCGCCGTTATCCGCTGTGTTTGACATCAGAGTGTGCGTGGTTATCCGCTGTGTTTGACGTCAGATTGTGCGTCGTTATCCGCTGTGTTTGACGTCAGAGTATGCACCGTTATCCGCTGTGTTTGACGTCAGAGTATGCACCGTTATCCGCTGTGTTTGACGTCAGAGTATGCACCGTTATCCGCTGTGTTTGACGTCACAGTGTGCGCAGTTATCCGCTGTGTTTGACGTCAAGAGTATGCACCGTTATCCGCTGTGTTTGACGTCAGATTGTGCGCCGTTATCCGCTGTGTTTGACGTCAGATTGTGCGTCGTTATCCGCTGTGTTTGACGTCAGAGTGTGCGCGGTTATCCGCTGTGTTTGACGTCAGATTGTGCGTCGTTATCCGCTGTTTGACGTCAGAGTGTGCGCCGTTATCCGCTGTGTTTGACGTCAGAGTATGCACCGTTATCCGCTGTGTTTGACGTCAGATTGTGCACCGTTATCCGCTGTGTTTGACGTCAGAGTATGCACCGTTATCCGCTGTGTTTGACGTCAGAGTATGCACCGTTATCCGCTGTGTTTGACGTCAGATTGTGCGCCGTTATCCGCTGTTTGACGTCAGAGTATGCACCGTTATCCGCTGTGTTTGACGTCAGATTGTGCGCCGTTATCCGCTGTGTTTGACGTCAGAGTGTGCGCCGTTATCCGCTGTGTTTGACGTCAGAGTATGCACCGTTATCCGCTGTTTTTGACGTCAGATTGTGCGCCGTTATCCGCTGTGTTTGACGTCAGAGTGTGCGCCGTTATCCGCTGTGTTTGACGTCAGAGTATGCACCGTTATCCGCTGTGTTTGACGTCAGATTGTGCACCGTTATCCGCTGTGTTTGACGTCAGAGTATGCACCGTTATCCGCTGTGTTTGACGTCAGATTGTGCGCCGTTATCCGCTGTGTTTGACGTCAGAGTGTGCGCCGTTATCCGCTGTGTTTGACGTCAGATTGTGCTCAATTATCCGCTCTTGACAGCACTTGATAGCGTGTTTTTGCGTTTTCATGTAGACAGTTTTTTTTTAAACCGAGCATGTGTGGACGGGATTTTTTTTAAACGCAGGAGGAAAAACTCCGGTTATAAAAATACCCGTGTCCGTGTAAACAAGGCCTAAGAGGTTAATAAATGTCTTCTGAAGTGAAGAGATGCATTCGTGTAAGAAAAAATCCATATTTAAAACTTTATCGACTAAAATAACTAGCTTTCGGCAGACGGCCGTAAGCATGGATTTGCACCAATAGAGTGACCCTTGAACTTGAAGCACAAGGTAATGACGAACGTGGTACATGAACTGTTCACTGGAAAGATATTGAAGACGACCTATGCTCTCCTACGCATATGACCTCTTCATCACCCTTTATCAACAAATTAAACTCGTTACATTCAGTGAAAAGAACTTATGATGTTTATAATATACTTATAATATAATATACAAGATGAAAAGAGGTTTTGTGGATCCTTTGCTAAAATGTCTAGTTTAGCTCTTCTATCCAGACCTGCTGCCCGCCTCTTGGAAAATCCCTGTTTATAAAGTGGAAAGAATCCTGAAACAAAATGACAGAACTATACATTTATGCACAGGATGTACCTCACCCCACTACGTTAATGAATAAAATGTATCACCTAGATGTCGCCGATGTAAAATCTATACAGGATCAATAAAACACATCTTCTGGGAATGTAGAAAACGTATATATTTTTGGAAGGAGTTTCACAATCTGACAGCTAAAGTTTTGAGACTCCTTTGGACATTACACCTATACGATATCTTTTTGGTACAGAGCTGGACAGGACACTTGATCCTAAAGCTGTTAAAACAATTGGTATAATATCATACATAGCAACAACAACAAAAATGCATCTTGCTACCTGGAACCAGCAAAGGCCTCCAACATTTGATGTTTAACCAGTTAACTGTCACCCCCCTTTCTTTGAATATACATGAAAATGCACATTTCGAACTTAATGGTTGTAATTCAAGAATGCTATTACAACCATTAAGATAAAAGCTTCTCTTCCCTACAAACGATACTATGTATGAACAATGTGAATATTTAACCAAGTCAAAAAACAAAAAGTAAGCAGGTATCAGTGTTAATTTCAGTATTGTTACTGAAAATTCAGTTAATTTAAACGCCATTAAAGGCAACAACTTTTATAGCATCATCGATAACACAACATCTTGTTCCCTCATTTCAGGGAATGTTTTGTCTGTAACTGGAGACTTTATCAAGGTGAATAACCTGTAATAAATGGTAAGTGATAAAATCAATGACGCACTTCTGCAATGATAATTTGCTGAACTTTTTCTTAAATGTTAGATGCTGTATAATTGTGTTCATTTTCGGAAAAAAGTTAGTTTGATGAAATTTAAATTACCGCCATGTGCATTATTTTTCAGATATGTACAATCAATTTGCACATAATGTTATGAATGTATGTAGCTTGAAAACACCTAAGCTATCTGAAAATGATTGCTTTATTAATCATTGCCTAATATTTTTGATAACCAACTTAATAACTTAAACTGTACATATTTATATATGATGCTTATATTAGTATGTTTAATATTCTGTTTTCATATTTATTAGAGCTCAACATCTTTACACATTGGAAATAAATATCTTGTTAATGATTGTTAGACATTTAAATGTACTAATAACTATGATTTTGGCGATGTGGAAAATGCAGATGGAATCGTGGAATCAAGCGTTTTATGCAATTTTTTTGATTACCACCATAATTTGTATTAAATTCATACATATTTAAATAAAAAAGTATAATTGAAAGAAGAAATGCTGTATCACTGATCTAGTGGATGCTTGTGAAACGCTTTATTTGGGTTTCAAAATAGATTTTCTGGCAGTGCAATATATATATATATATATATATATATATATATATTATTGAAAAAGTAAAAAATTTTGTTATTGAATTTATCAAAACATTAATTTTAATGTTTGTATGTGTTAAATCATTTTAATTAACCTGGTTGCTACTGTCTGTTGTACACTAGGTTGTGATGTAATGCCACTGTCTCATTTCATACAAACCTTTTCCTTTATCTCTGATCATTTTTTTGGAGAGAAATATACTACTAATATACTTTTTATTATTATACAATGGATTACATAACTTTATTATATATTTGACATCTGTCAGTATTAAATTTAAAGTATGATTATATAATAATGAGTGTGTTCTGACACGTGTAGTTTAACCAATAGTTTAAAATGTCTTCTTTTTAAAATCTTTTTCATTATCTTCATTGATCAACAAACAATTAAGACTTTATCTGCAGCCAATATATAACTCATAGAAAATCAATAAATTCTTTCATAAAGTCTTTTTGGATATTGATATCCATGTCAGCCATTGAAAAAAGATGTATTGATCATCCAGTATTCTTGAATGTATCCATTTCTTGTTGAATTGATAAATCAGCTTAAGCAACTGAAAGCTTCACGGTAAAATCTGCCACATTGCGTCCCATTAATCCATCTAGCCACCTGTGGACATCTTCATGCCACTGTAGTACTAGGTCCTTGAATATTGATTTAGCAAGATAAGGTTTGTTAGATAAGATTTAATATCTTTGCACGCACTGAATCTATTGCTATCTTCTGTGATCTCCTTTGTGTGTTTGATAGGCATAACTTGTGGATGTCACAATTACTTCACAAGAAATTTGTTTCACAACAAGTTTGGCATAAATGGTAATGATGGATTTCTTTAAAGATTAATGCAGAGGCTGTTTAAGTGAGGACAAAAAAAGTTTTTGAGACTTGTTTTAAATGTTCGTTGTGAATCCATTGTTTTAAAAAAAAAAGAAAAACACTTGGCATGTTTGGTTCAATTAAAACAACCCTGGTTCGATTGCTGTGTTATTGCGGTTTATTTGATAAATCATGAACACTGCCATCCGAACCCCGGTGCCACCAAACAAGCGGACCGAGACCGCTGAAAAGATGGGTCTCATTCCTCTTCCAAACAAACTGGTGCGGTTTGAATGAAACATGAACACAACACAGATCAAAGACATGTAAACGTACCAAATACAGGACATGATGCCACAAGATGCGACCCTAAAAAGGACAGAATGCTCAAGCATAACTGTTTTTTTCTCGTCATAGTCGTGATGTTACCCATCACAGTTCGGTACAGGTATCAGAACCGCTTCTCGTCACAGCAGATCTTTTGATAAGATCACAGCAGATCAGATGTTTGTGGCGGAGGGATTCCTGCCGCATTTTTGACTCTTACACATTTTTCTCAAAATCCCATTATATGCCAGCTACGCACACACAAGGAGCGCATTTATCCCAGCACAGCATGGTTTTGGATGTTTGGTAAGTTCCGATGCAAAATATACGTAATAAAAGCCGACCAATCAGGTTGTGAACATATCCCTATGCCTTTAGGTTCGGTATCTTTAGGTTCTGTGTTAAAACAACTGTGTGACCAAGACTACACATTGATAAAAAAAAATATTGGTCCGGACCAAACAAACCAAGCAAACCGAACTACACGTGTGTACACACCCTTAATGACTGCCATAAACTGTATCACTAGTAGGATATTGTATAACTGATATGATTGTTTAAGTGACACTCTTGTATAACTCTATAACTGATTGTATAACTGACACTCTTGTATAACTGATTGTATAACTGACATAACAGCCGTGGTGGTTATAAAGAGCTTTCCCCACTCTTCCCCACTTCCAACTGACACGATGAAGGTCCTAGAAGGATTTCTTTCTATTGGTTTGTTGGCTGTTTTTTGTAGCTCCAGTAATGCAAAGCCACGGAAGTTCAGGATTCCTGTCCATCAGAAGTCAACTTCTGCAATCTCATACCAGAAGGTCTGGGAGAAATTCAGTGGTCAAAGCGAAGCTGAGCGTGATGAGTTTCTGAGTGGCTCTTTCCCAGTTGATTTTGAATGGTCCGTCTCCAGTGAGAGTTTCAAAGTGGAGGGTGGATGGGCTGAACACAGGAAGGGTGAGACCATATGGGATCGTTTTAGCCATGAGGGTCATGTCTTTGACAACCAAACCACTGATTTGGCCTGTGATAGTTATCATAAGGTGGACTATGATGCGTATCTGCTTAGGGGAATGATGGCATCTAATTATCAGTTCTCAATTTCCTGGGCTCGCATTTTTCCCACTGGACACAGAGAAAGTTTGGTTGACGAGGGGGTTGCTTACTATGACAAGATGATTAACACACTTCTACAATCCGGTATTGAGCCCACTGTTACCCTGCATCATTGGGACCTTCCCCAAGCTCTGCAGGACTCAGGAGGCTGGGTTAATGACTCTATTGTGGAAGCTTTTAAAGAATTTTCTGACTTTTGCTTCTCTCGTTATGGAGACAGAGTCAAAACATGGATCACATTCGGCAGCCCCTGGGTAGTGAGCAACTTGGGGTATGGAACAGGGGAACATCCCCCAAGTATAAATGACCCAATAATAGCCTCTTACAAGGTGTGTTTGTCAATCAGAAAAAGTACCATCTATTTTATGATTTTATAAAGTATATATTTGCAATGCTTTGCTTGTTTTCACAGGTGACGCACAATATTTTGAAATCTCATGCTGAAGCCTGGCATATTTATAATGATAATTACAGGAAAATGTACAGTGGAAAAGTGGGCATTGCTCTTAACTCTGATTGGGCAGAGCCAAGGAATCCCGTAAGTGATCAGGATGTTGCAGCAGCTGAGCGTTATTTGAACTTCCAGCTGGGCTGGTTTGCTCACCCCATATTTGTAGATGGAGACTATCCAGTCGTGCTGAAGAAACAAATAGAGCAAAAGAAAGGTGAGTGTGTTAAAGAGCTGGCAAGACTCCCAGTCTTCACTGAGGCAGAGAAACAAAGAATCCGAGGCACAGCTGATTTCTTCGGACTTAATCACTACACTTCCCGACTGATTAGTGAGAGCATGGGTAGATGTGATGCTGGACCCAATAATGTTGGGGACTTCGAGGCTTATACGGACCCCACATGGCCCACCACAGCTTCTGACCAGATCCAGTCTGTTCCATGGGGGCTTCGGCGGTTATTGAACTACATCTATTTAGAGTACACATCCATCACAAAGGTGCCCATCTATATCACAGGAAACGGAATGCCCACTGAGTACTATGGTGATCTGCTCAATGACATTCAGCGTGTCGACTATCTCAAAGCTTACATTAATGAAGCAATGAAAGGTAAGTATTCTAAGGGAACTGGTCAATGCTTTAACTAAACTTAAAACTATAAATTTTTTTAGTGATAACAGGTCAGTCTGTGTGAAATCAGAGGTGGTGACCTTAATTTAAAATCTGTAAGGTATTTCTTGGAGATTCTAACATTTTTATATTTGAAGTAATCATTATTTTGAGGCTCAAAATGCCTTGTAGGGAAGCTGTGTATAGGGTATCTGATATCTCAAAGTTTGTTGGCCATACTTTCATATCAAGATAGCTGAGGACAAATGTCTTTTTGCACGGAAACAGGGCTCATGTAGACCTACTTCTAAGCCACTTTCAAGATTCTCCTAGATAGTCAACACTGATAAATGATAAAAAATATTGTACTGTCCTTTTGATCATAACAGGGACATCACATTTGAGCTTTTAAGCTTAAAACATGTCCTTGTATTTTCATGGATGTAATAAAGGCTCAAAGGTCACCCACATCTACAATTTGTTTTTTTACAACTTTATGGGCAACTTATAAAAATATTTGCACACTGAGAAGACTTTTAACGGTGTAGACTTGAAGGAATCAGGTTTGTCTATCCAAAAATCATAATTATTGAAATATACACTAAGCATGGTGTTTATTGGCTTGGGAATAATTAGTCCTTCAGGGAGCTTAAAATATATGAAACTGTTTAATGAAATAAATTTTACAGACACCAACAACATCAGAGTTGACACTGACTGACCTTAAAAAAATCTTCTACCAATGTAACAAAACCCTTGCCAAACTTTAACATCAGACTATATATAGTAATACACGATCACTATCTATTAACTACTTCTTTCTACTACAGCTGTGCATTTGGATGGTGTTGTCATCCAGAGGTTTACAGTCAAGTCTCTGATGGATGGTTTTGAGGGTCCTCAAGGCTACAGTCAACGATTTGGATTGCACTATGTGAACTTTGAAGATCCTGACAGGCCAAGAATCCCCAAAGCATCAGCATATTACTATTCAAAGGTGATTGAGCATAATGGATTTGCTGAGACTCCAGCAAGCTCTAAGAGGCAAATCTATGGAAATAAAATTGAGAGCACAAAACTTCCTAGTCTGCCACCATCTGAAGTTCCTTCAAAATCCAAGGTTGTTTGGGAAAAGTTCTCCCCTCAAACCAAGTTTGAGAGACAGCTTTATCACTATGGAACATTTCCAGAGGGATTCCATTGGGGTGTCTCTTCTTCAGCATATCAGGTTGAAGGTGGCTGGAATGCAGATGGAAAAGGACCAAGTGTTTGGGATACTTTCACTCAAAAACCTGGTATGATCCCAAACAATGACAATGGTGATGTTGCATGTGACAGCTACAATAAAATTGATGAGGATCTATACATGTTGAGAGCCCTAAAACTGAAGACTTATAGATTCTCCTTGTCATGGTCTCGAATTTTTCCCAGTGGGAAAAAATCTTCTCTTAACCAGAAGGGTGTGGACTACTACAACAGGCTCATTGATGGTCTTTTGTCAAACAATATCACACCTATGGTGACTCTGTACCATTGGGACTTGCCACAGGCTTTACAGAACATCAACGGTTGGGACAACCCCGAATTAATTAACATATTCAATGAATATTGTGACTTCTGTTATGCAACATTTGGAGACAGGGTGAAGTTTTGGATCACATTTAATGAACCCCAGACAATTGCATGGTCCGGATATGGACTAGGTCAGATTCCACCTAACGTAAACCAACCAGGAGATGCTCCATACAGGGTTGCACACAACCTCCTGAAAGCTCATGCACAAGCTTATCACACCTATGATGAGAAATACAGGGCAGCGCAAGGAGGTCTGGTATCCATTAGTCTAAATGCTGAATGGGCAGAACCCCTGGACGTCAACATCCCTCGAGAGGTGGTTGCAGCTGATCGAGCCCTTCAGTTCCAACTAGGCTGGTTTGCACATCCCATATTTAAAAATGGTGACTACCCTGACGCCATGAAGTGGCAGGTTGGCAACAAGAGTGAACTTCAAGGCTTGACAGAATCCCGCCTGCCTTCTTTTACTGACGAAGACAAAGCCTTTATCCAAGGAACAGCTGATGTATTCTGCATTAACACATACACAACCAGAGTCGTGCGCCATGTGACCAGCATTCTTGATGTTGAGTCTTATCAGACTGACCAGGACATTGAGAAGGACTTTCCAGATGGCTCTGAAAATACAGCTGTTAATGACCAGAAGACTGTTTCTTGGGGACTCAGGAGACTTCTTAACTGGGTAAAGGAAGAGTATGGAAACCCTGAGATTTATATTACAGGAAATGGTGTGGCTACAGTCCCTGCCATGACAGTTGATGACACTGATCGAATATTCTTTCTTAAGACCTATGTTGATGAGGCTCTTAAAGGTATGTTAACAATGGTTCTCATTCATTGACAGTGCATATAGCGGTATTTGTCTGCTTATAAATGTTTTTATGCAGAAATTATGAAATCCATTACAAATATATATATATGAAAAGCTCTTTTTTTGGACATGGTTTGGGCATAATTTATTCATACTGCTAGCTGTGTGAATGCGCTCCCTCATTTAGAAAAATCCAGATTCAGCAACATAGAGTAAAAAAAAAGTTATGTGTATTTGCACCTATGAATCCTGTGGAAATTTTGCATGAAATTCTTTGCTAATGAATACACAAATTGTACAAAATGTACAAGTGAACATGGCTTAATGTTTGCAATGGTGTTAAATTGTACATTTGACATATTTACATGTATTGTCTTTTTAGCAAACAACCTGGATGGAGTACGTATTAAGGGTTATATTGCTAGCTCTCTGATGGACTCCTTTGAGTGGCTAAATGGCTACTTTGTTAGCTATGGACTTCACCATGTGAACTTTTTACTATCAAATCGGCCAAGAACTCCAAAGCGCTCAGCTCACCTCCTTTTTGATATAATAAGAAATAATGGCTTTCCACTGCCAGTGGAGGAAGAAATGTTATATGGACATTTTCCAGAGGGATTTATGTGGAGCACAGCAACAGCTGCATATCAGGTACAATCCATTTCAACAAATACAATCATATATTAATCATTACATTAATCATATATTTGCTTAAATTTATACATGTTTCATGTAATGCTTTAACACCACAGATAGAGGGAGCCTGGAGAACAGATGGAAAAGGTCTCAGTATTTGGGACAAATATGCACACAGTCCTTCAAGAATAGCTAACGACGACAATGGTGACATTGCCTGTGACAGCTACAACAGGATTGCTGATGATGTCGATAATGTCAAAAAACTGAAGGTCGGCCACTACCGGATGTCTGTTGCATGGCCCAGAATTATGCCTGATGGAACAAACAGGAACATTAATGAAGCTGGACTCAACTACTATAATAGGCTTGTAGATGCACTTTTGGCAGCCAATATCCAGCCTCAGGTAGACTATTTTTTGAAGGAATTTGCATGCTAAAAATGCACTATGTCAAAATTTGGTCAAATTCTTTTAGGCTTCCAAGTCTATTAATCATTTTGATCTGGCAGGTGACCTTGTACCACTGGGATCTCCCACAAGCACTCCAGGATGTTGGTGGCTGGGAGAATGAAACGATAGTCGATAGGTTCAGAGACTATGCTGATGTTGTGTTTAACAGTCTGGGGGACAGAGTAAAGTTCTGGATTACTTTAAATGAACCCCTCAATGTTGCTTTGGCAGGATATGGCTATGGAACTATGGCACCAGGTATCATTTGCCATTAAAATTATACTTTTAATTTTTGTAAAATATGATTAAGCCCACCAATTTCCACGTTCACAGCTAATAATGCAAAATAAGGTTATTGATGATGGTTTATCTGTGTCCAGGTATAAATTCCAGACCGGCCACTGGACCATATGTTGCGGCACACAACCTCATCAAGGCTCATGCTGAGGCCTGGCATCTATATAATGACAAGTATCGTGCAAAATATGGTGGCCTTATTAGCATCACTCTAAACTCTGACTGGGCTGAACCAAGAAACCCATACAAACAGGAAGATGTGGATGCTGCCGTGCGTTATCTTCAGGTACAGATTTATGATTCAACTATACGAATAGTGTGTAACCATGTGCATAAATCAACAATAAGCCACTCCTCTTCTTGAAACAGTTCATGCTGGGTTGGTTTGCTCATCCTGTGTTCAATGGAGATTACAGTGATATAATGAAAGACAGAATTCGAGAGAGAAGTTTAGCGGCTGGCCGACCTCAATCAAGGTAATTCATGTTATCTTGTTTGATAGAAATTTAAAGCTTTGTACTAAAAATGTTCAGTTCTCATAAATGCTTTTACATTTGCATTTCACATCTATCAGACTTCCAGAATTTACCCCTGCTGAAGTAGCGAGGATTAATGGTACTTATGATTATTTTGGATTCAACCACTACACCTCTGTCTTAACCTATTACTTGGACTACAAAGACTTCGAGGACTATGATGCAGACAGGTAGCCTTTTGGTTTTATTCTGTGAGATTTATTTGTATAGCACTTTTTACAATACACATTCCAATAACGCAGTTGAGATTTACTATATAATATATATCGCCCTAAGAGAGCATACTGTATGTGTGCAGATAAAGTATTGACATACTTTTTCCAACTTTTTATAAAGAGTTGGGCAATAATTTTGTTGCCATCTATTCCAGGGGTGTAGGGGTTGTATCTGATCGTACATGGCTGGAATCTGGATCCTTCTGGTTGAAAGTAAATCCTGCCGGATTCCGAAAAGTTCTTAAGTTCATTAAAGATGAATATAGAGACCCTGCTGTTTACATTACAGAGAATGGTGTATCAGAACGAGGGCCAATAGATCTGAATGATGTCCCCCGTATCCACTACTATAATACCTATATCAATCAGGCCCTGAAAGGTATTAAGATAGAAAAGGACAGTATTAAACAGCATTACATTTCTGCGATGCTTTTTCATGCATTATTAATATTATTGTTTGTTTTCAGCGTGTTTGCTAGATGGTGTGGACATCCGTGGCTACACTGCCTGGTCACTAATGGACAATGTGGAATGGGCGGCGGGTTTTGAAGAAAGATTTGGCTTTTTCTATATAAATCGATCAGATCCCAGTTTACCACGTATTCCTAAGGAATCTGTCTGGAGCTATGCTAAAATAGTTTCCTGCAATGGCTTCATTAGCCCTGGAGAAAGTCCCCACCAATGTCAGATCCTTGAACCTGAAGGTACACTCTATCTATCTGAAGTACAATCTATCTATCTATCTATCTATCTACGATACGATACGATATCGATTCTCTCAGCCAGCGATACAATGTTTGCCGACACGTCACAAAATTCTGCGATACGATTATGATTCGATTCGACTCAGGGATATATCAATTGATTTAGCGAAATTTAGATATTATGTGCCAAGTGTACACAACCAGTTACGTGTGTCAACTCACAAATGCATCCAAAAATAACAGGAAATTTAATTAAACTCTTTGAAAATTGAACACCCTCTCCCAACTAGGACATTTACAAGTTGTTTGTTGTAAGTTACAAGTAAAAAAAAACATGATATATGAAAATGAACAAGATCGATCAAGTTATCTGTTTTTGCAAATTAACTATATAAGAGAAGAGTTCAACAGATAACTCCGTTCTTGTTCATTTTCATATAGCCTATCATGTTTTTGTTTTTTTTTTATTGTGCATTTGAATATCAATCAAACTGCAACTGGGTTGTTTTGATTAAGTAATACTAACTAAAAAAATACAGGTATCTTATAAAATTAAAGTTCATTGAAAGTATTTTTTTATATATATTTTTTTTGTGTGTGTGTGTGTGTGTGTGTGTGTGTGTGTGGCAAAAGCAGATAACTCCACATTTAATTTTTCAGAGTTAAACAAAGCCAATTAATTGCTATGATACATAATAAAACACTTAATCCTACAATCTTTGTAATGTTAATCCTCAGCTGACATAGACGCCTGTCAAACTTTGTTGTTGTGATTAACGTACACGCAATACAGAAAGCTTTTCCCTCACCACTAACCTGCTGTTTTAGCAAGAGTCCGTGAAAAAGTTCGGGTTCATCAAGTTCGTTGAAATCCATCCTCGATCACTTTTAATCAGCTTTGACGAAACTCCTCTCAGCTAGCGCGTCTTTTCAAAGTGACTAGCAGCCTTGTCACCTGACATGAATACTGCGCACTGATTCACTAAAACAGACTTTTCGGGTTGTGTTCACATACAAAAAGGGTGCTTGTCGTTTCTGCTGTAAAACATGAATTTGCGATGCCTTGACAGTGGAAAATACTGGCTTTTGTGACAAAGGGTTCAGTCAATCTTGTCAGGCGTCTATTTCAGCTGAGAAAAGTTACGTGAGGATGTGGAGAGTGTCAAAATAAAGGTACCGTATATCGATATTTTATGTGTGGCATCGTATCGTTAGACGTTTGATCGATGCATCGATCCATATCGATATATTGTTACACCCCTACTATGTCTGTCTGCTTGTCTATCTGTCTATAAATAACCGAGTCATTTCTGGTTTACAGAAAGTAATCCTGCACCACCTCCTGGTGAAGAGCTGTTGGACAGTTTCTTGGATTTGGAAGTGTCAGGTCCTGATGCTGACACAAGAGACAAAAAACGTCCAGTAGAGGAACACATTAACCTTGATAAAACTGACCATTTCTGAACATAATGTGATTTACAAGTCTTTCAATTTACAAGTTGTGTAAATATAATCAAGTACAAAATTATCTAATTCATAAAGCTGAATTTAAAAAAAAAACTTTTTCGTAATCAAATGTTACTGGTAACTTCAACATTAACTCATGATTAGTGAAGATATGAACCAATTAAGAGCTATCCTTAACTATGACTGGAGTCATAAGGATTTCAACCGTTTTCTGATTTTTATTGTTCATTTATGTTTAGTCATAACTACTTTTCTTTCCAGGATTACAGTATGTAGGGTTTGTTTCTGGTGGGACACTTATTAGTGGCTCTCACTCGACGCATTAGTTGTGCTGCAACGGTAATGCTGGCATTTTAATCTAATTAATGTTGACTGCTTTGGTAAACCGAATTAATAATTAAAGACATGTTTGTATGCATGTTGTATTGGGATTTTTCATGAAGTTATGTACAGTAATTAAATATTTTTTGTTGTTTAAATGTAAATGCTTCTACTAGCATTAACTTATGGACGTGCCCTATTTTACATTTAAAAATGCATTATGTTTATCTTTACAGGTGTGTTTGGGCTTTATTTGAGTCCATATATGTTTAATTGTATAAATAAAAATAAAAGAACTACAAATAATTTGTATCTTTGGTTTTTGTACCGGTGGTGTAAAGGAATAAGGATGGCACTCTTAGTGTATGTTTATTCATATTTTAGTTAATGATTTGTAAGTCCATCATTGTGTCAGTACTTTACTTTGAAGGGCACATCATTCTTAACTCATTATCAACCATACACTAACATCATTGTTTGTAAAAGGTTTAACTAAACCCTAAAACAACTTTTTTTTTTTGTTAATGATCTGTAAGACTGGGGCTTTATTAATGCTGTTCATTGATTCGACTAAATGTTTTGACATTTGGGTATAAAGTGTTTTAATTCTACAATATATGGTGTAAATACCAAAACTCTAAAAAAAAACTCTAACTCTAACCAAAACTCCGTCAGTGACAGAATGGAGAAAAAAATGCTTCCAGGGGCGCAGTTACGCTGCTGACCCTGTGTCTCACCGCTACTATTTTTAACATTATTAGGGTTTAAACGTTTTTAGTGTTTTAGTTTGTTTTTAGACTTCACCCTTAGTGTTGTGTTGTTTAAGCGTTTCACGCTTTATCGCCATGAATCTCTCTGCTGTCTGTGCCGTCCTGGCAGTTTTGTCAGTAATACCTGGAGGCAACGCCGTCAACACGGGCATTACCGAGGTTTGGATTACACCCACTATTACCTACTCTCAGGAGTTTTTGCTCTTTCTAAGAAAAAATGCAAACAGCTTGGAAATAGGGACCGTCTTCAACAGTTGCCCCTTGAAGGAGGGAAGAGGGAAAAAATTGAAAAAATTTAAAAGGCGAGGCTCAAGAGGAGGAATCAGAAACCGGCTAAGGAGACGGAGAAGTCTTCACCCTCTTCCAGTAATCACTCTATCAAACGTGAGATCACTCAACAACAAGCTGGATGAGGTAATACTTCGTGTTGTAACGACATTGATAGGGTATCCGGCAGATATCCCCCTGGCACATGACACATTGAAAACAAGCCAAGCGTTGTGGTCACCCATTCCCCTGATGCAAACCTCGCCGTCTCACGGGACACACATCCCACACAACCATTATTTTAGTGTATGTTCCAGGTCCCAACAACAAAGAGGGAGCCGAGTGTATTTCGGACAGTTTGAACACCGTGCTCTCAAGATCAGCTGATCAATCTGTGTTTATTCTTGGGGATTTTAATACATTGTCTTTAGCAACACATCTCCCAATGTTACAACAATATGTTATGGTAATATCGAGGATGCATATAAGGCAATATGCAGACCTCCCATTGGTAAATCAGACCATAATGTCATTCATTTATTGCCGAAGTATAGACAACGCGTGAAGAGAGAAAAGCCCATTGTCAAGACAATTAGGGTCTGGGACAGAGAGAGTGAGGACAAGCTAAGGAGCTGTTTTGAAACCACAGATTGGGACATGTTCTTTGACTCATGCAGAGATCCACATGAACTGACAGATTGCATCTCTTCATATATACAGTTCTCTGAAAAATCCATAATTAATACCAAGGAAGTAAGAGTATTTCCTAATAACAAGCCCTGGCTGACAAAGGACATGAAGAGATGTCTTAATGACAAAAAGATGGCTTTTCTGAGGGGAGACAGTGAAGGTGTTAAAAATAAAAGAAAGGAGCTCAGAGCCAAGATACAAAGGGCCAAAATGGACTTTAAGCATTAGGTGGAGGAGCAGTTCTGTACAGGGAACCCCAGACAAGCATGGAAGGGGCTTAACACAATGATGGGAAGGATGTCCAAAGGAGGAGATGGCAGCGACTTACTGGACACTCCCTCCCTTGTGAATGATCTTAACCGGTTTTATGGAAGATTTGACATTGCAGATTTTAAAGATAAGAGCAACGCCATTTGTCTCGGTGTACACAAAAACCCCATCATTCAGCTTTCAGAGCAGGAGGTTGGCATCTGTCTCTCACAGATTAAGCCCCACAAAGCACCGGGACCTGATGGCCTAGGTGGACGTGCTCTGAAGGTATGTGCCAGCCAACTAAAGACCGTCTTAACTAGATTATTCCAGTTTTTATTATATACCTGCACTGTACCTAAGACATGGACCAGTGTTTCCCCTACAATGTATTTAGCAGCGGCGCAGCACCACCACTGGATTTTCAGCGCCGCTGCAAAATCTTCACATGATCAGTAATATCACGACATTCACTTACACACCTAAAAACACTGAGACATGGCGACCGCTGGCGCTGCTAATGCGGTGGCTCTGAATCCACTTGTTGACAAGAAAGGAGGAAAGAGCCACATATGGAAACATTTTCGATTAGGCTAATGTCACGTTGCCAAAAGGGGCCGTTCACATAGCGCGTTTTTCTGCGCCTGCAAATTCGTTATTTCAAATGTAGGCGCGCGGGAAGCGCGCTCGTTTTTCCAGGCCGCCTCTGTTCATGGTTGCATAGCACGAGAGAGCAAGCGCTTTTGGAAAGGAGAAAGCGGCGCTCTGTCCATGAGGACGAGGAAGTATCAGCAAAGAATTAATTGATTTCTAGCCCTTGCATTAGCTTTACTACTAGATATATTTATGGAGATGAGAAATAAAAAGCCGCCCTGTACAGCTATGATCAGCTGTTCGGCCGAGCTTTCGATGTTGTTACGGAAAGGCCGAAGCTGATCGGTTGGTTTTTGTCACATGGCCTGTTGAGATGAGATGTTACGATGTTTTCATCTCGTCACCACGCGCGTCTAGAATTGAAATAACGAATTTGCGCGCAAAAAAACGTGATATGTGAACGGCCCCTAAAGTGGACTCGGGTGCGGTTGTATCGGGGTAGTTTTACGAGTAGGAGTACATGAGCACAGTATCGGACCGACACCCGAGTGCTGTTTATGCTGTTTATTAGTCCATCAGAAAAGCAGTTCTAGGCTTATTCTTGGCTGGATAACTCTTAGCAGGTTTAAAAAGCCTTTTAAAATTAAATATGAACACAGTTTTGGATTAAATAAAAGTACAGTCAAGTCAAATAAAACACGTTTTTATCTCCTGTGTTGTTGTATCTAACATCAACACATTGAGTGAACAATATATTTTTACAACATGAATTAATGTTTGTGAATGTTATTTAATACAAACACTTGATTGTTCATGTTTGTTCACTTCATTCATTTTGCATTAAATAATGTTAACATAAAACTTTTGATTTTAAAAATGTTAGAAAAATTAAGTGCTCACAGATTGGGTGTGGCCTTTGCCATTAAGATAAACATTTCAATAAATTCTAAATAATCTTTTTCTGGGTTGTGCCATTTCATTTTCCCCCTTTCAATATCTACCTTATAGCTGAAAATTAACACAAAACAAAAACGTGAAAAATCCTGTCTAAAATTATAAAATGAAGATTTCTGTTTGTGACCAGTTCAAGGTACATGCTGCAATAATCATGCCTTGAATCTGTTGATGGTATGTCATATTTGTATGTCTCAAAATGTCCATTTCTATCCACAAAACTTGCCAAAAGTCATGGTTTAAGGGGTTATTTAAAAAAAAAAATTCTTCCGGAGGTACATATGCCCGGACCCCCGCGCGCAACTTGGTAACATCCTCCGGCACGTGACAGCACCGCTGCTGGAAAAATTTCTAGGGGAAACACTGTGGACACATTATATCATAAGACCAGTACCCAAAAAAACCAAGGTCTAAATCCCTGAATGACTTCCGCCCTGTAGCCTTAACCCCCATACTGGCTAAGTGCATGGAGAGGGTTGTCAGTAAACATCTTACCTCATGCATAAAAGAACAATTCGATACATTACAGTTTGCTTACAGGACAAATAGGGGGACTGAGGATGCTACCCTTACCATGGTTAATATGGTTTCCAGTCATCTCCAGCAGAATAACACGTATGCACGTATTTTATTTATTGATTTTAACTCTGCTTTTAATACAATGCAGATCCACATTCTGCTGGAACGGCTTTTGGACTTAGGTGTTAATGGGGGTCTTGTACATTGGGTCAAAGACTTTTTAACCGACCGCCCACAGAGAGTCTATGTCAGAGGAACATTGTCGGAGGAAATTGTCCTAAACACAGGAGCACCTCAGGGTTGTGTTCTATCACCGTTATTATTCTCTGTGTACACCAATGAGATGACACTGCAGGACAGCAATTATAAACTATTTAAATATGCTGATGAAATGGCCTTAGTTGGTCTTTTTTATAAGAATGATGTTGTGTCTCATTATTTTGCTCAGGTTTCCAGGTTGGAGCAATGGTGTAGGTCTAGCTATCTGTCAATCAATACTGTGAAAACAAAGGAGCTGATTTTACATCATCCAGAACCATCCCTGGCGCTTACTCTCTATGGTCAAACAGTGGAGATAGTAAACAGTTTTAGGTATCTAGGTACACACGTGGATGATAAATTGAGTTTCACTGA